AACACAAAACTCGTTTTTTTTTGTTTACGTTTTGAAAAGTTACGGAAAACAGAACATCATTGATTTTTCTCGTAAACATTTGACAGTTGGGGAGCACCCTGATGTATGTATGTCAAAACGATGTCGAATTCCCGAAAATAGATAATTGCGTAGATGTAAAAGTAAATACTTATTTTAATTATAGATAAATAGTAGTGGGTTCCTTCGTACTTAAAATAACTCAAACTTAACTGTATAAAATTTATTTCTTGGGGCCTTGGCCAAAAATCTGATTTTGAAACAGCGTTTTCTTTGGTAAAAAATTGAAATTTATGTACTGAATGTGTAATAAATTTTAATAATTTAATTTAATTCGATACTCTACAATAACAATATGCTATTTTATATTTTCAATATTTTAAAGTACGTGAAAATTAACATCGTGTGTTAAGTTAAAGTTTCTATAAAAGCAGATGCTCCTATTTCTCGAATATCCTTGAAGTTTCTTTGAAATTTTCCGTTTTTTTCGGAATTTTATTACCGTCCAATCCAGGTTCGCTTTGTAATTCAAATGAGCCACGTGTGGCTTCCATGCTCTATAAATTATAAGATGATACCATAAAATATTCATCAAATTAAAAGAAAATTTGGGGCGAGGTCGTCTCCAGTGATCATTCACAAGCATGCTTCTGTTAAATAATTGACAGGTCTTAATTAGTGCCAATGCCGCTTGCCTTACAATATTTTACATGTAAATACTAGACTTCCAACATAAATATTTTTATGTCCTTGCTGATAGATTTGTATGTTACCGTAACATTTTACAAGCGATTTTGCACAATTGAGACAGGCCCCAACATCAGATATATCTAATGTGAACCTTTTGTTTGGACACAATCAGCTGTTCGTATTTTTGAAACCCCTTTTTTAATGATTATTTTTAAATGAGCGTTGTCGCTATTTCGAAAAGAACAAAGACTTTGCGCAACAATACTCGATCATAGTCTAGAAACAAAAAGGGGACTGTCCAGAAATTATGTAACGCGAAATTCCTCAAGCTTCGAATCCTCTCTCCCCATGTAACAGGATCGTAACGCGTAGCCTGGCCCCTCCCCTCGCACCATGCCATAAAAATTTTAATCTTCAATTAAAAAGGATTAATGATTTCAAGTTATACAGTAAAAGTTCCTTATTCACGATTTCCTTATTCGCGATTGCAATCGGTAAACAGAAAAGGATTCTGTGTCATTTATTAAGGGGATCTAGCATGGGTTTCTATTCTGAACATTGTGTTTTAACGCTGCGAGATAAATATCTGATTTTTTGTATGGTAACCGACAAAGGTTCACACTAACTCGGTACGTTTTTGGTTTTCAATAATAAGGTCTTTGAAAGCTTTTACAAATGCTTAAAGTTGATGCTTCTTGTAGGACACGTATTTTCAATAGACATTAAAAAGTTAAAAAATGGCGTTCGACAAGCTTTAGAACAAAGCTTTATCTGTCTTACTACAGAATTTCAAACCTCTGTTCCAAATATTAAACTCATGATATCTAGAACCGATAAGCCTGTTTTTATTCTACGGCGCGTGTTCTACTGAATCCCCTTAATATATCAGCATCTTTTGAGTACTATTGGCTCGTGCCGATGCGACTTTTATAACAGATGTAACCGAGTGGACTAATTTCAAAATTCAAAACAAGAAAAAATCACTAAATTTTTTTAACTCTTAAAGCTGATTATAACGATTAATTTTAATTGCGAATTTATCAATACATTGATTCTATTTTGGAACCTTAGAAAGTATCCCCTATGATTCCATACTAATCCCCCATGATTCCATACTAATTACCATTTCATATCCGCGGTTTCTGTATTCGCGGCATATTTATGGAACGTATACCCCGCGAATAAAGGGCTTTTACTGTATCACATAATTTAAACGAACTAGATTTGATTCTATTCCTTTCTATATTTTGTTGTATCGAGTTTAAGTTTAATACGAGGCCCTTTTAGTTGACTGCGATTTTATCCATTCTGGTGGTTCTTCGTAATTGAATTCGTGAGGAGAGGAGTGTACCTCGTCTAAAAATGACATTTGACACGCCATGTGCAACTCACCGTAATAATACTCGGAAGCCCGCAATCGAGTTTGCTTTTCATCAAACTGAATAATCAGGCATTTCGTACTTAACATTGTTAAGTCAATCATCGTTGTGTGATATCTTCGTAAAATTTGTTACTCGAAATTTACACCAAATGTCACAGAATTGCAATCAGTTAGGCCATGTGTTTAATCAGACATGTATGTACATGTTGTAATTAATTCGGTGGCAGTTTATACAAACATTTTAGAAAACATTTCGTTAATTGCCATTTTGGGACACTTTAAATAGGTTAGGTTAGGTACCAACATAAAACGGGAAATTATGGCCTAAAAGCAATGGAATAACACTTTTTAAAAACGAAGTAACTCAGGTATAATAATATACATATGAAATGGCTCGAAATAGTAAAAAAACTTGCGATCTAAGAGTGTCACTAATTTGTTTTCGGCAGTCTACTGCGCAGTAAGGCAGTGCGCATCTGGTTTTGACAACTGACAATACCGAAATCGCTCAGTTGCTCGTCAAACGGCTGAACGTTACCTTTCCTAACCTTTATCAGTGATCCACTTGGTTCGTGTTAGGTTACTAGTTATATCACCGACATTTTTGATATTTTACTTAATTTTGAGACAGTGTTCAGCCGTTTCGATCTTGTATATTGCTAAAACCAGATTAATATATTAAACGTCCAATTTAAAGCTAAATATTTCAAAAACAAGTACCTAGGGGAGGCACAAAACCAAAACATCTTCAAGAAATATTTTCTTTGAATGACATAAATCCGCAAATTCTGTATTTTCAGCATCAGGGGTAACCTCACTGAGATAGAAGTTATCATTTGATTTCGATTACCCCAGGTTACCCTATCGCCTTCGTTATAATACGTGCCTACTTCGCATGCTGAATAGCCGTTTGAATCCCTCGTGTGATACGTATTGGAAAAAAAGGAGGATAAAAAATCCTTCTCCAGTCGTGTTCAAATTGATATTGCGTAGCTCGTTGCCGCATAAAGGATGGACTCCCCATCGAGAACCCGTTCGTGAGAGGGTGATAAGGGCAAATCACGCAATATCTCCTACAGTTCCGTTCATTAAAAGTGACCTGGAAATTGAGGAAGCGATTCTTTTTTTTTTCGCCCNGTACTGTTGAATGATATGTTTTATATATAATATATAAACAGTGTATATACATACATATTTATATATATATTACGTGAAATGGTTCTTCTGATTTGCATTCTCTACTTTTTAACTAATAATGTAAATGATGGGTCTGATAAATTTTTCGATATTTTTCTATTGTAATTAGCTTTTACAAAGGTACATTGATAGTTGATTAGTTAATTTTTAAAATCGAAATGAATCTCTATGTGTGTAGGATTTAAAAAATAAAGTGGAGGTTGATGTTATTTATTAGCTGTGTATAAATGTAGAAACTGTTATTATTAATTGGTGAAGTCTTAATAAGATATTATTTTTATTAATTGTTATGATTTAATAAAAATACAGTCGCGTCAGTGCCTCGTTTTCGTCTGTAAAAAATGTTTTACATTTAATATGGTTTCAAAGTGAAGTAAGTATTTTGTCGTCTGTCTTTGTAACTTGAAGAATAAAAGTGGAAGTTCTTTATGTACAAGAAAATTTAGTTGCCGCCCTGAGAAGTAGTCTTTTATTTTTTTTTTTTTTTTATTACACTTAAACATACATTTTTTGTTNTTAATTACTGAATATGATAGTCTATTATTTGATTAATGGAAGTTATGGTTCTTCATATGTTAAAATTTAATATTTAAGATGAAACTAACATAAATTGTTTCGACAGGTTATGATTTTAACAAATGAAACGAACAAGGTGAAAAAATAAGGATTGGAAACCTGGAGGAGTGTAGTCCCTTGGACCTGAAACGTGAAACTTTTAGAAATACGTGCAGTCCAATTGACACCGATGCATATAAAGTTACACATGTGATGTCTTCTACTATATAGCTCATTTCATCATCAGTGGTATTATTTACCTTTTCACAAGCATCTATTGTTAGAGACACTTCTCTGTTGATAATGCTTAGGAATAATAATAATAATACTCGACCACCATAGAGTATCCTTAAAGTAAGCGGTTGTTTTACTGTTTAATTATTTCTCTGGCATCTATGGTTTCTCTTCTATCAATTATCTATTGTTCACAGTATAAATTGACGTCTTTCATTTATGGTTATCTCTATTGCTTTTGGCATTTATCTGTCATAAATGTAATTGACGCCCACGTCGCCATTTTATAATATAGTTATTTACTTGCTTTTCCGTGCATGTTTTCATTGTACTTCATGTTTTACTTAACTTAATCCCTTCTTTAATTGATATTTTTTGTCTATTTCTGCAGATCGTCCAACAAATGAGAGAAAATTGAAGTTCAGGTTGATGATATTGTAGCAACTAATAACTGGTGTCTTGANCAAGCTGGGCAGTCGCCTATTGCTCCTATTCCAGATAACCCACTGTACCCTGTCTGAAAGGAAGTAACGCTAGAGTAGACTCGCGAAAAGTGTATAAGACACTTTTAAGATCAACTAAATAGCTAAGCCCAAGGGAAGTCGTTCGGGGAGGCCCTCCCTAATTCCACAAGGGTGAGAAGAAACAAACACGATAACGAAACGTTGAATCATGTGGAATTCGTAGGGTAAATGCAAAGCAATTTATAGTAAGAATATGCAGTAAGCTAAGCGAAGAGGTAAGCAAGGTTAGACTATACTACAACTACTAAACGTGTTATTTCTACTACTACACTACTACTACATACAAAAAAAATAAAAACATCTACAATCAACAATTACTTCAAATAAAATGAACAAAAATAAGCATGCAAACTAAAAACTAATTCAAAGTAACTACAACAAAACACAAAATAAAAAATTAATTTGAATAAAACGAATTTAATGAATTCTACTACACAGAGCATGCAATATAAAAGAACTCTTTCAACTATGGGGTCATCTTAGTCTTCTCCAACGTCGATCTGAAACATATACGGTGGTAATAGATTAATAAAGAGTAATTAAAATTAACTATTATCAAGTTTCTCACCTTAATTAACTGTAGACTGCAACCTCTCAATGTTAGCAGATGTAAAAAGCAAACCAAATCCAAAATACCACGGCAGAAAGTCTGTTGTTCAAATAGGTTTCCAGTTGCTTCCACTCATCGGTTGAAAATTAACTGCATACGTTGCGAGGTGAGGACAAAAGTAGCAAATCAAAACCAAGTCCAGAATAGACAACACCCATGTAGACATTGGCCGTTTCAGTACAGCCAAACTGAACTCATTTGTTCGATAATCTGCAGAGATGGACAAAAAATATATTAATTACACTATTAAGTAAGGAAAGAATTAAACACACCCAAANGTTTCAGTACAGCCAAACTGAACTCATTTGTTCGATAATCTGCAGAGATGGACAAAAAATATATTAATTACACTATTAAGTAAGGAAAGAATTAAACACACCCAAAAATAAGCACCAAAAAGCAAGTAAAATTGCTGAATCATAATAAAATGGCGACAAACGTTATTGACACCATGACCATAGATCATGACATAAATATGGATAGTCATAGATGCATGATAATACGTCAATTTATACTCTCAACCATAGACATATAATAATATAGTAGTATCGTCGATGATCTCAATAGATTAAAAAAAAATGAAATACGGTAGATACACGTTAACCTCAACTTATAGAAACAAAACAGCAACTGATATGATGTCATGCATTCTCACCTTAATTAACTGCAGGAAGTAGTATTTTAAAGTCTCCAAGTGTAATAGGCAAGCCAAATCCAAGAGGAAGACCACTGCAGACAACCTGTTGTTTCAGTCCTTTCTAAACTAGATTTCCAGTTGCCTGCTCCTCGAAAGTTCAAAATTAACTCCATAATGTTGCAAAGTGATGACATCAAAAGTATATATTACTTCAGTAGCATCAAAATTAACTGCAATTCCTTCTCTTTTGTTGGATAATCTATAGAAACGGGCAAGAAAAAGTAATTAATTACCACTTTCAAAGCAAGTAAATCTGCAACATTTACACTGATGGAAACGTTAGATCCACATTAATTATGTTGTTCTGATTCTGTCATTTTTGAAAAGTTGTCAAGTTGTCTAATGAAAGTAACAAATGTCTAAGAAACTGAGGTCTCTGAAACCCATTTACTGTTTTTAATTGATACTGTTACTTACCAGTTCATTCATTCTTATAAATCCTTCCTCTGGCAATTCCACACCGTCTCTGTTCCAAATGAAACAAAGGCACTATCATGCTTTCTTTGAGACCATAGGTACAGCTATCTTCTGGAGTGAATGTTCCTGTAAAATGAAATCTTATTGAAGAGTATTCACATATAACGTAGGTTCTCTAGAGGATAACTTGCATAATACAGTGCTAAAGTTAATATCACATAAATATAATATGACTAGATATGTAATTGTGGCAAATAAATANCAAATCGTTAAAACACAATCTACTGAATAACAAAGCAAATGTGAACATTTTTAAATAGAACTTTTTAAAGGCAGAATAACCGCTTTGAGAAATTCTTACACATTTTAGTTACAAAGCGTACAAAATTTTTGGGGCGTAGTCAGATCGGTATTAAATATCTGTAATCATCGCCTAAATATGTTCCCAAAATTCAAAAATTTTAATAGCACCTTAATTATTCGATCTCAAATAAACAAAGAATTTATTTTTTAAGTAGATGAGTGAACATCCAAAATGGACTCTCGTGTTGCAAGCACGAAACCAACACGCCACCGAAGCCATTCACGCCAACAAAAATCTAAGCAACGGTAATCGAAACCTATCAATCATTAAATAGAAACATATTCGACACAATCAAATTAAAATCGAATAGGTATTAAGAATAAGTACCTTAAAACGCCGTTCCCGTTAAGAACAATAAAAATGGCGACTTGAGGTTTCCTCGAGAATTGAAGACGAGATGATAACTGGATGATGACCATAGATTACATAACAAGACGGAAGATAAAACCAGCCAGAGACCCATAAATGAAAATTCCTTCTATACCTATGATCAAGAGATAACAGATTTTATAGGTGCGTTCAATTATACTAACTCAGTTTTATTCGTATGTAGAAGCTGATCAAAATGGACACTTTTAAGACAGGTTGGATAAAATTTATCTATGGAGGACATGACGCATGATCATGCATAATCTGAATCTATGAGATGCATCATAGACGTACAAAATTCATAGATTCATATAATTATGTCAATTTAAGCTGTAGTCATAGAAAATTCGGAATGAAAAAACATAGAGCACATAAGTGAAACCAAAACACTAATAACATTAATTTTTATTATTTTATTTTAATATTATTCTACGTCTGTTACTTCTTAACGTCTGTTCTTATGAACATAAGAAAGTATTTTTATACACTTTATTTGTTGTCATCCCTAGATTTAAAATTAACTTTCAATTTTCTCTCATTTTTTTGCCCAATCTTTAATAATAGACAAGAAAAACTAATTGATTATAAAACGTTAAACATTTATAACAAAAAACATAGACTATATGTATTTTTGAGCTTATAGCTTATTGCTTACGATTTTATTAATTCCTTCTTAGAATTTGTATGTTCCGCCTATGCTTTTTTAAATCTAAAATGACCAATGACAACTGTCGGTTTAAATTTGAAATTACTGGCAAGTAGAAGTTTTTAGGTTATGATGCTTACAATTAAACAAATTTAATAACACTAGCTTCTAGATAATAATGGGTATGCTTTTAATATTGCTAGTGTTGAGACCTAAATATGTAAAACATAATTTTCAGGTGAAGACTTAAACGACATCCTTAATTTACAATACAAAGTTGCAACCAGTAGAACGTTTTATACGAAAAGCATTGAGACGATATTGAAAAAGAAAAACAAGCTCGATTTAAAGAGAATAGTGGGTATTAAATCTGATTTTTAAGTTTATGTAATGAATAAATAAATAATTGTAGTCAAACATACAATTTGAAGATTGGGAGGAAACCAACATTGAAGTTCCTCAATTCAAAGTTCCAGAGATGACCCAAGATCCTGTAATAGAAAAACAGAGGGTAGGTACAATCTCGAATTGCATATTTTTAGTGAAAAATTATATTATATTTAAGGTTGAACAAATAAAAGCCCATATGCTGGACCAGATAAAACTAATGAAGATCTTAAAAAAAATAAGATCAAATAAAATCGCACAGTTGGTAAATGAATTGTAACTTTTAATTACACTGATAAAAAATATATAAAATAGCGTAGTAAAAATGTTAATAATTTAAATAAAAAACTAGATATTAAGCATTATTCTTTATTTCAATTATATGAAGTGTATAAAAATGTTATATTTAATTGAAGAAGGAATATGAGTGTATATGAACAGCTTAATAAATAAAATTAGAGGGCATTTTAATACTATATTACAAACGGCAATTTATTAAATAAATGTAGAAAGTCACTGAGATATACATTATTGCAAATAAAACCACTTAAAATAAACACCCTACTTTCATTCTATTAAATTAGGACTTATATGGCTTTCACTAATTATATTTTTTCCATTAACAACAGGGCTGCTGCTGCAATGATTTACATTGGTAGGCGTTTTAGTTCTTAATTCAAAAACTTTTTGAATTGCCTTACGAAAACATAGGAAATTATAGTCAATTACACCTAAAAGAACCAAAACAAAATTAAAGAGATAAATACAAATATTTAGATTTTCAAAAAAAAAATTAGATACCTTTTCTTTCAAAATGGTCCTCTCTCAAAATGCAAACAAGTGCAAGAAAGTTATTGACTTCTCGGAGGTACAAAACTGTACCATTATTTAATTTTATCAGACTTGAACTTTGCTCATCAAATGCTGTAGTGTCACCTTGTTCTTCCCTTGCACTAAAACAACATTAGATTAACTATTTATAAGAAATACTTTTCCTACATTTTTGTGCAGACCCATAAATACAAGAAACATCTGTTACAACATCGATCATATCACAGCATAATTCATAACTCTGCATATCCACTGGGGTAGAATCTGTTGCAATATATATTTTTGAAACTACATCAAAAAGAAACGACTTTTCTATTGCAGAGTTCTAAAATATATCAAAAACAGCAGTCAGGTATTATTTTTAATACTGGGGGAGGGGGTATGTTCAAGTATTATGATCCCCTTTTTCACAATAGACAAGGAAATCATAGACTTCCCTTTTCCCTGAATAATAAGATGTAACAAGTCCTTGTTATTTAACATTTACAGCTTACATAATACTTGAATGCTCATTTTCATTAAAAATGAATGCACTTACTGTATTTAAAATATTCAAAAGGTTCTCCAGAGCTGGCAGCTGAGGAATCAACTTTTGGACAACTTTAGAGAAAGCCTCAAAAATAGAATGATCATAAATTGATGTTAAATGAAAGCTCAAATGGATTTGGTCAAAGCCTAGAACCATTCATTATTAAAAAAGAATAACAAAATAAAATAAAAAGTTAATGAACCTGCATCAGCTAGGTCATCAGTTGCTCTTTGATGTATGTCCCTTTGAGATTCCATTTTAAAATCATCCCCTAATCCATCAACTTTATGAATAAACACTTCAAATTTAATGTTCGGGTTAATTTTATATGCTTTGGTCACTGTGAGATTTAATTTATTTAGGGCTTCCATATAGTCGTCCTAAATATCAGATTGATATACACAAATAAGGTAAGTAATGTACAATCATCACCTGGGCATCAATAACAAATATTAGGGCTCCCGTACCTCCAAAGATCATATCAGAGTCAAAAGTTGAATCCAAAAAATCTATTTGACCAGGAAAATCCCAAATTTGAAATTGCACAAAACTAGAATTGTTGATATCATTCTTTACTATTTTATTGGTACTTTCAAGAAAAAGTGTTTCATTAGGGGACATTTTGTAAAATACTACTTTCTGAATAGATGATTTTCCAGATCTATAAAATATGCTTATATATTGAAAAAATACTGCAACACCAGTTAACTATAAGGTACCTTCGTAAACCCATCAAAAGTATTCTAGGCTTCTGTTCTCCTGCAGAAGATAATGTAACATCGTGCTCACCATCAAACGCTCCATAACCGAAGTCTTTTGGAAATGAACTAGGGTTTCCATCAAAAGCTATCCCATCCTCATCATCCTGATAAGACTAAAAAAGACGGTCTTTCATCAACATAACATAACCTTAAATGTAACAAAGAGCTTACCATGTTGAATCTGTAATATATTGCTCCTTATAACTGGAAAATAAGTGACTGATTTACTTATTATTTACTCAATATTAATAAATAACATTTTTTTAAAGACATATAACCTGAATATACAAATTACGACGTTTTCTATCACAAGACGTTGATAACCGAATATCTAATACATGTATGCAATAACAAACACTGAACAAAGTCCATGAATCACTACACAATCCATACACTTCTAAATCCATAGCACCAGTACTTGTACATAGTTAAAACGAAACGGCGCGAATTTAATTATTTTAAAATGTTCATACAGTTTATCTCCAATTACAAGATTAAAGACTGTGATCAGAAATTGATGTATTGTTATGAAAGTAATAAATTAAATATAGTCCTTAAAAATACGCATTACTTTATATAAATCTTAATAAAATTAAAAATAAACTAATTTTAGAGTTAATACTTAAGCAAAAAAAATGTTTTATGCTCTATCGTAAAAAATAACCCCCTTTCGGTTTTTTAGGCGAGGGTGCAACCATTCGTTTAAGAACTGCTTCTCTTTTGGCGTGGAGTTCAGATATTTCTTCTTGCGACAGAAATATTTCTTCATCATCGCTATCAAGAAAAACATCTTCTCCAGACTTATATCTCTTGAAAGTAGTATTTTAGTTATTAATATTTGTTTAAATTATCATTGTATAGACAATATAAAGCAAATGTCAATAATAGACGAACCTTGAATTTTTCTAATCGAAAATTACTATGTTCTTTGGCCCATTCCATCAGTAGAATGTAAATATACATAATTCCTTTCATAATATCGTCATCCGACCGGAATGAATTTCCTTTGTAAAATTTTTTATATACCGGCATTTTGTAATTAGCAGGAATTGTGTCTCTCAATATTAACCAATGATTATTTCGATAGCGGAGCGATACATAGAAAATAACCCGGCAACTCACATAATCAACAACTTCGCATGGAGTAAAACTGAATTTGATTTTCTTGTGATTGAATCTTATAAAGGCAATACCAGGCTGGTTAAATAATGAATCCGCTTTGCGTATTTCTGCCTCGTAATATGTTTGAAATAAAGTTTTCCTATTCTCTTCAATTTCATTATATTCCTTTATTCTACGTTCTTTACGCTTTTTCAAGTACTCTTCTGTAAAAATGTAAAATACAATACTTCTACAGTACTTATATTATTTATACAAATAGAAAAAATAGATTAATATTTGTTGGGTGTTGTTCACACCCTACGGAAAGTTTCTAAACTAAAATTATTAAAAGAAGAAAAAAACGCGAAGCATTCATTTTGGATTAGATTCATTTGAAGACCGCTGACGGAGACGTTTCGGGTTCTATTCTCGACCGATACAATTATTTTTCTTCTTTTCTGCGATCGGAATGATCTAGACAACGCCTGGGATTTCGTATACGTAGTTAATGACAATCTTTAATAAACGAGACTTATGTCCTTTATCATTTGTAGTCTTAAAACAATTTTAAAGGACAATATCTGTAAGACGTACTTTAGGAGACAAGCAAAAATGTATATTGCAGCAATGGAGAAAAATGCGTGGGATTGTTTGTTAAAAAAAAAAAAATTGGGATTACTTCTAATTTCTAGAAAACAACTAACCACGTGTCGCAACGCACTTTGAATTTTGTAAACTTTTTAAGTGAAATTTCGGGTTTTATATAATGTTTTATTCAGTTTAATTAACAGAATTTATTTTGATTTTCTTATAAATTAAGAAGCTATGAAACTCAAAATTAACATTTACATTATCGGGTCCGTACCATTAAAGGACAAAAGGACCTTCGGAAGGACATGATCAAAATTTACTTCGTTCGTGTTGTCTTCTTCTACTGTAACCTTATGGTCTTAGTGAACACTAACCGAAGAATTATTTGCAAATTCATCATTCGAATTCGTTTTTTTTTCAGGGTACGAAACGCGAATACAATTGATCGAAAAAAAAAAAATAATTAATTAAGGATCGAAATGAAACGAAAATTACAAAAAGTAATTACTTTTTCTTTCATATTGTACGGAAAATTTGATGTAATTATTTTTTTTAGTACACTAAATCAGGCTGATCTAAAAAAAAATGCAAAAACTTAAAAAATTAAGGTACTTCTTGCATGCACCCTGTAGAAAATGCGATGAAATGTTTGTAAAAAAATGCATAATTTCCAAGAAAATCTTGTATCAGCCTAATTTAAAATGTTACAAAAAAATATTTTGTTATCACGCATATAGTCCATTTGCTGAAAATATATTCCATACGTCCATATTTTCCTTTATTTCATGAGGAAAATTAATCCTTGTTCTTTGGAGATTTATTTTTAATTTACATGTATTAAAAACGATATTATATAATTGAATTATCTCATCAAGTTTGTGACAAAACTATAATTAATTTGACCAAAGAAACTTTTAGTCTGAAAAATCTAAAGGACACCACCCAGATAACAATTTTCCAAGCCTTATTAGATAGATAAAGGCTGACATTTGCTCTGACATTTATAGTTGAATAAAAACTGTCAATCTTTGTTTAAACGTATTTCCGAAAAAAGCAAAATTGTACCATTTATTTAAATTGAATTGAAGAAATTGTTTTCTAAATCTTCGTACTCAACAACGTATTTGATAATACTGAGAGGAACTGTTGGTGCATGAATCAAATTTGCGCTTGCAAGGAATTTTATTTTTCTTCCTTGTTCTAAGATTACTACTTATTAAAAAGTTTTCAAAAGCATTCTACGTACCAATTCGTTCTTCCTCGCTGTAAGTCGTTTGATAAGGAGAACTATCGCTCCAATCACTCATACTGACTCATACTAATAATTCAAAAAAATAAAACATTTAAAACACATACAATTAAGTTAAATAGAAAACTTCACATTAATTTTACATGCACTAGAGCAACGACTATCAAAAATATTTTCTCCAACTCGATTTGATTTACTGTGTTCTTCTTCCAAGTAGATTTAATAAACTTTTAGCAACTTTTCTAGAGACTACATTCATACATACATACATACATACATACATATATTTATTTTCCTTTCTATAGATCGCGTATAATGTTTATGCGCAGTTGAATCATATTACGAGTAACTCTCAAGGTTGGAAAGTATTCTATGAAAGTTATTTACAGTGGCTAACATTATTTTTTACACCTGGTACAATAAATTAACAAATTAAATTAATTATCCTTACCTTACTTACCTTTTGAACCGGTTTGCGTAAAAATAACACATTTATATGCACTGTAACTGACACAACTTAATTCGGAGATTTATTATCGAGACTGCTTATGGCGTGCTGATGAGATCAGATCCACGTCTGGTAGTTTCGCGAAATAATTAAAGAAAACCGCTAATTGTTTAAAATCTACGAAATTAATCTACGACTGGCATTTGCAAGGAGCATGTTCAGGGTCGGTCGTGGAGTGCTTCTCTATGAAAAAGCTTTAACAAAATTCCTTGAAGATGCCAGACACATAACCATCTTAGAATCTTCGGGAAATCCTGTCCTTTCGTATCAGTATAGGTTTTCAAAATCCACAACTGCAGTACAATTGTAGTCTTGAAAGTTAATCACTAACTTTTGAGTTTTCAGTAATTATCTGTGTGTGTGTATAAATAATCTATCTGCAATAAAATCGCGCATCTTAAGAATGCATATATTTTTGTGATTTTTTACGCGAAAAATATATGCGTACTCATAAATATCGAAATAGTTCTTCATGGTATTAGAGATGATTCGAGTAAAATCACTAAATGATCAATTAATTAAGACAATATAAATTGACTACCTTAATTTATTCGCTATATCTTTCCCTAGTTCTATGCATGAAAATGGGTCAAGGCCAATAAGGGTAGTAATATCTTTATTTGATTACAGAACCGACAACGACGGTCGCCTCTTGTTGGGTGGCTTTATCAAAGTAGGTTTTTTAGTCAATTACGAGTTGTTTGTGTTAGAGCCTCCCAACAAGAGGCGAACCGTTGGTGTCAGTTTTTTAATCAAGTAAAGACATTACTTTCCTAATTGGTTCTGACTTATATTTAACCGTTAATCTTAACTCCTCTAAATTCTTTCCATTAACTTGGCCGTTATGTTAAAGTGAATTAAGTTATTTTCTTTTAATATTGAATGACGACGATTCTTGCACTTATCTAGATGGATCCTAAAGACTTCATATATCAAGCGTTGTTTTTAAATAGTGTAAAATCACCATCATCATAAGGTTCGGAAACTGGTTGAACCTCCACTTCTTTTGCTATTCTGAGTCAATCTTCATATTCCCCGATAACTAGAACATTCTACATCCCTTACTATTTCTTTATACCGCGAGTATTTCTCGATTATCAATTTTCAGTCCTGGTAATCTTGCCATTTGCAGTCCTCTAGCACCTAACCCTCATGGCTTCATCCATGTCATGTCTTCATGGGGGTCTGCCGCGTTTTCTTCTCCCCGGTGGAATCCATTGGAAAAATTTTATTGGCCATCTGGCTTCGTTTATTCTCTGTAAATGGCCGTACTATGATAGCCGTTTCTTTTCTATTGTATCTAGGATATTATTTTCAACATTCATTATTTCTCTAATTCTGTAATTTCTTACGTGGTTCAGGCGTAAGATTACACAGCATCTTCTCCATTTGTCCAATTCTGGGGACAGCAATTTCTGTTTAATACTTTTGGTCAGTTCTCATATCTCAGACCGTATGTGGTGATTCTCTCAATGGCACTCTTGTAAATTGTTGTCCCATTTGTAATTTTGTTATTCCAGAGAATTGTATTCATTGCTCGTCGCCCATGTCCAATTTTATTCTTCTGTATTCGATATGGTGACACCAAGGTGTTTGAAACTACTACACTTCTTCAGTTTGTGATATCCTACGTGGAAGTACTGCCTGTCGCTTCCCCTTACTAGTCTTCTCATGACCAATTGTCAATGCCCATGTCTCAAATTCTTCGTCCAGCTTCCTGAACACGTAACTGGAATCGTTTCTGTAGCCGGCTATCAGAACCTGATGGTTATCAGCAAATAGTTTCATCACAAATAGGGATCTCTATTCCATAACATTTGCGTTTCCATTTCTTTATAGGACTTCTTCTGGGTAAATCTTGAATAGAGTGAATGCTAGAGCACACCCCTGTCTGACTCCTTTAGTTATTACGAATTATTCACTAATTTTATTGCCCATGTTAACGTAACCACTACACCCATTGTATTTGAGATCTCTTACTGTCCTTATAAGCTTTACTAACTCCTCTTTTGTCCATGTATGCCCATAACTTAGTGGATTTGCTTCAGATCAATAATAGTTAGATATCTAATTAGCAACGTAGAGAAGTAAATATTAGAAAGGGAGTCAGACAGGGATGCACACTGTCACCACTACTTTTTAATCTATACAGCGAAGACACGATCAACATTATTAAAGACAGTACAACTGTAGGGATAGATATACAAAGGCAAAAGATTAATATGCTTAGATTTGCAGATGATATAGCAGTATTGGCATCTAGCAAAGAAGACTTACAGATAGCTTCAAATGAAATGGAAGCGGTACTGACAAAACAGTACTGTATGAAAATAAATAAAAGTAAAACTAAAATACTCGTATGCAAGGGAAGAAAAAGTAGGGAAAGAGCGGATATAAAGATAGGAGACGAAAAATTAGAGGAAGTGACTAATTTTAGATATCTAGAAAGTCAGATAAGTCAGGACGGAAGGAGTAGTAGGGATATAAAGCAGAGGATAGCGCAGGGACGTATCGCCTTTAATAAAAAGAAGTCACTTTTATTCTCGCGAATGGCTAATTTGGAAATTCGAAAAAGGTTGTTAAAGGTGTATGTTTGTAGAGCGGCGTTGTATAGGTGCGAAACATGGACAGTGAGCACGGCGAAAAAGAAAAGGTTAGAAGCGTTCGAAATGTGCTGTTATAGGCGAATGATGAGGATAACGTGGGTAGAAAAGGTTAGAAATGAAGAGGTATTAGAAAGAATAGGAGAACTACGAGAACAGAGGACTCTATGGAAGTCAATAAGAAATAGACGAGATAGGTTGGTAGGACACCTTCTCAGGCATGAAGGTCTAGTCAGAGACATATTAGAGGCAGAAGCAGGAGTTAGGAGGGGTAGAGGTAGACCTAGATTAGATTACTATTTGCAAATAGTTAAAGATGTGGGTTCTTCTAGTTTTAGGGAAATGTGAAGTTTAGTTCAGGATAGGAAAGAGTGGAGGTACGTGTCCAACCAATCTTAGGACTGACGACCTTATGATGATGATCTAACTAGCTAGTGTCCTGCAATCGTACCTTTTTTATTCCTTGTTGATCTTGTTACTGACTTTTACCAACTCATTTCTAGCTTCATCTATTGACGGTATTCGTCTATAATAGTACATTTGAAACGTTTGTAACTTTTGATTATTTTATTAAAGGCAACTGACCCTGCACCATTCTTTATTTCTTCTTGTTCCACCTCAGTTGTTTGATTTCCTAGATATCGAAAATTGGCGACTTCCAGGAATGTAAAATATAAGCAGAAAATAACCGTAGCTGAAGCTCCATTTATAAATATTTTTAGGCCAAGTGTACAGTGAATTAGCGTTTAATTAGTTGCTTTTTATATATCGTTAGAGGTTCGGAATACTTTGCAAATTGACTTTGCATTTGCTGGGGAAATGTGTTTAAAGTGTGTACCATATGTATGTGTGTATGTATGTAGATCCATCTGTGTAGGCCTTAATGCTTCTTTTCTGGAGCACAATAATAAACTACGATATGTTCACCACCACAAGTAGTGGACAAGAATAACATGCACATGCTAATGCCGTCTGTGATAATAAATAATTCGATTCGACATTTCAGAACAGGGGAAAAACTCGCAGTTTATTAAACCATGTTCAAGTGTTCGTGTAGATACAAGTTTCATAGTTCAAACGTTTATTTTTAACTAAAATTTCTGCAAACTAATAATATAGATGCGTTCAGAATACTTTTAAAAAAATGTGATTAAGTACTTTAAACGAATTTTAATAGGTAAGGGTCGTTCTAATTTTATTTTAGTAGATAAAGAACTATTTAGCAGAGCTAAGGTTATTTTACAGAAGTATAGTTGACTTTATAGATAAAACTTTAGTAACAATGAATATTGTTGTACTCCTGATGAAGGTTTAGCTAGGCGATGCAATTGATAAATGTTCATCGACATAATTTTGCTGCATTTGAAAGTGATTTTATAAAACAAAAACAATTGTTATTAAAATCTATGTTTCGGTTATTGAACCATTCAACAATAAATTAAACTTTGATTTGTTTTATCCAAATACAATTATTGATCTATGATTGTTACATTTTATTTCATAAACGCGTTTTTTCTGTTTTACCATGTCGAAATTAAAAATTTTTTTTTTTCAAACTATTCGAACATTGTAATAATTTAACATTGAAAGTGATTTAATAAATGTAGTATATACAAAATCTAAACTTTGTTTTGGGCAGTTTTTAAATAATTCTAATATCTTAAAATTGCGATGCCAATAATCCTACATCTAAAATATTTAAAGAATTTATAAACATATATTTACTCTATAGCGTCGTTCTAAATACAGACAAATCTTTCCTAATTTAAACCCAAATAAAAACGTTGCAATTTTCTAATAGTTCAAATTTTAGTTTGAAGATACTCTTCCGGTTTTAATAATTAAGATTGGTTTATATGTATATATAGACTTATCAAATACAATTTTGTACGGTTCTTTGTTACAGTCGGTTTCTTTTGGTAAAATATTAAACGTAGAAATGACTCACATTTTTCATTTGTAAAAAGAATTTAGTTGAAATGGATAGTGCCACACTGAATAAACAGTAACTGAATAAATGGTTTTTGGCGAACGATGAGGATAACGTGGATAGAAAAGGTTAGAAATGAAATTAGAAAGAATAGGAGAACAGAGGACTCTGTGGAAGTCAATAAAAAATAGACGAGATAGGTTGGTAGGACACCTTCTCAGGTATGAAGGTCTAGTCAGAGACATATTAGAGGCAGAAACAGGAGTTAGGAGGGGTAGAGGTAGACCTAGGTTAGATTACTGTTCACAAATAGTTACGAATGTGGGTTGTTCTAGTTTAGCTGAGGATACGAAAGAATGGAGGTACGTGTCCAACCAGTCTTAGGACTGACGACCTTACGATGACGATGATTACGTCATTCGTCAAAATAGCAGGAAAGTAGACCATGTCTAGGTTTTCCAAAAATATTTGGTAGAGGCGCATTTGTCATTATTGACATTATACGACTAATAACCCCAATGAGCAACGCTTTGAAAATAGAAACGTTATTGAAGGATGATAAAAAGCTTTAGGTCATGAAATTAACATATCTACTTTGTGTTTGTTGATATCATTTATATATAAAAGGAAAAAATGGGGAAGTAGATGTGGGTCCAGGAGGACAACAGAAGTAACCTCAATTGGTGCAGATTAAAAGTCTTTGATGCGAATCATCTGACACCTAATAAAAAATAGAGGCTTTCAGTCGCGTTTCCTTAGCTTATTAGGATCAATCGATTATGATTTATAACATCAAAGACATTTGACAAGTTTATGTAAATTGGATCTACTTGGAATGATTCAAAAAGTGATGATCCCAAATATGTTTGAAAGGTTAATTTCACAATCTGTCTTTAAATTCGTGTTAATTGTAGTCATTTATAGAAATAAGGAAAATAATGGGGTCTAGCTCTGGAAGACATCAGACGTTACCCCAATTAAAACTGATTGAGTCTTTAGAATGAGCTGTTTAAAAACTAACGATTACATCATATGCCTTTGGGAAGTCCATAAAAATTAAGTCTACTTGAAAAGATTCAAAAAGTTCATAGTAAATTCTTGGTAGAGACGTAAAATTTATTGTTTATCATTACCATTCACCAGAACCGATTTGGATCATCCGATTGCTTAATTATATCTATTTTCGTCGACAATCTTACTAATAAACACCCTCTATATCAGTAATAAAGTATGTATGACTGCAAATGCAGTTGGCTTGGATCGTAATGTCGTATTTAGCTGGCAGTTAACCAATGCTATGATATTTGGTAGGACTGATTGGCCCACTCTTTATTTAGATCAATTGCTCTTACTTATGTGTTTATCTAACTTTGGTAGTTTCAGCCCATCGTCTTTACCTACACAGTGTCATGTACCGTCATCAGACAATTATTCCGTATGATTGATTACCATCATATTATCAGGTAGATTCGATTTTCGAAAACTGTGACGTTTCTTGACGATTTCTTACCATTTGATGTTTTGTGCTTGTGCAGACAGAATGCAAATTGGTTTCTAACAAATTAATATATACGTAGTAAAAAATAGTAATATTTAAACTCGTGTTTTCACAAGGGTTAAAATGCGTCCCGTTTTCATCCCTATTATCGCGTCATTATCTAAATATGTTCCTGGATGTTCGGATATTCAAAAGAATTGTGACGACCTTGTGTCAAAATAAATTATTTTTAACCTGTGCTATATAATCATTAGTTTAATTTGGTGGTAGATGCTCCTAGGAGCTATTTTTCGCACAGAAAAGGGCAGGATATAAAGTGTACAATCATTACGATGAAACAACAATTCAATCATATTTACCTACTATAATTACCACCAAGTCAATTAATTAATAGTAATTAGTAAGTGTATTATTAGATCTAAAATTGTAACATATTTTTTTTAATTACTTTGCCATCATTTAAAAAGTTTTGGTATTTTTGTAGATATATAATTCTTACCATTACGATTTAGTACAATTCTACACCTATTTAGAATTGTAACTACTATAATAAATATAATTTTATTCTGATTTGTGCTTTTCAGATATTGTATAGAATGCAATTGCCAACAGTGTAGTAATACTTTTCGTTAGTACCTAAATGTGTAATGTGCAGTTAATGGTCTGACTAATGTTTTCATTCATAAAACAAATTCGTTCACATTTACAATTTTCTTGTTATTGTTACGAACTAATTGGATAGCACGTTGGCAGTGATACAAATATAATGATACTTGTACGAAATTGTACAATGGGTAAGGAATACTGCTGTATTCGTAAAATTGTGTTTTCTAACGAAAGTAATTAAAAATTTGGTGCGCAATTGCGTAAGAAATATTGAGAATTAAACAGAAGTGATTAGGTACTTTGCTATAGTAACAATCCCTTACATTAATTAAATAATCAAAGAGAAGAAAGATTTATGTGTCTATTATGTAAACCATTCTTCATGTTTGTTTATTGCGAAATCTCACGACCACTATTCACTTCCCTGTTTGGAGCCAAATATTTGTTATTATTGTGCCAAACTCTACATGTGTAACTAATTATACGTGAAAGAACAACAACAAGAAAATACAGGGTAGTTAATTGAAAATGGGACGTTGAATAACTGCTTAAAGGCATTTAGCGTTTTTCAAATTTTATTTAGGAATAATAGCCACCTACTGTTCCCTCAAGATAGAAAGAATCAAGGAAGAATATAATCCTTATTGATTCTATCTTTGCAGTTGAGATTCAATAGAAGTATTAACCTTAATAACGACGTTTTGTTCAGGTCTTTATTTTATTTTAGAATATTTGAAAACACTCTTATAGAAGATTTCAAACTACTAGGAGATTTGTAGGTCCAGCTGATTGACAAAATACGAAAGATGATTCCTATAAATGATGCCATATTATTTTGCGTGGTTTTGACTGCTCACCCACTTCTAACAAGATTCTAATTTTATCGCTGTCTATTCAATTTTATTCCATAATTACCCCTGAAGCTCAAAATTACGTGTGATTATACTTATATGAAATACGTATTTGATGATTAGACGAAACATTTTAAAACGTATTGCATATGTTAACGGAAATGTGTGTTATTCGTCATTATATACAAATCCTAGGAAATGTAAACAATTCCTAAAATCACCCGGAAATGTGTGAAATAAATTATATTAGACATAGTTCTTAGGAAATCTATACACTAAATCGGAAATGTATTACACTCAATTCAATAAGAAGGGGAGACCGGGGACGGTTGACTAGTTTTTTACTGAATAGTTCATATTTTTTGTGTTTTAATGAATATAGACAAGAAAAGCATGTTAATTGATAGAAAATCTATTAACCTAATAAAAATATGTAATATTTAGTTCTTAGTTTAGTATAATAGTGATGATTTAATGCATTTTACAAAATATTAAATCTTAGTCAATCTACCCCTGGCCCGGGGTAGGTAGACCATATGCCCGGGGTAAGTTGACTCATGTACCAGTAAGAGTCAAATCATGAGAAGGAGCAAATAATTAAACATTTTTTTAATATAATTGAACCTTTTGTTAAAAAATAAACTGGCTAAAGTTTCCTCTTCTAGATTAGTAAAAATTTGTCAATTTTTTATATATTCCACTGTGTCCAGGGTTAATTCTGCTCTCGTCAATTTCGGATTCTGTTCTAATTTTTTTTTAATTTGGCCACGTAACGATTTAAAAGTCCAATAAAAAGTTAATTTATGTGTTGTTTTCAACTAAATATTTAATTGGGGTTGATTGAATAATTATTCAACCAGCCCCGAAAAATATTGGTCTACCAACCCCAGACGGCATTTTTAATTTTGATCGCATGGCTAGCCTAAACACTGCCGTTGACTTGAAAAATAAGATATGAAATTTGATAAATGTGCCCTCGTTCAATGCTAGGACTAATAGAAAAATGGTTTACATAAAACGAGTAGGCATCAGATCAAAAAATACAATATATCAAAATATTACTTATATGTAATTGAAATATGAAAAATATGTCAGTGTTCGAAAACAACGCACGACCCCGATGTGACGCTTCAGATAACTGAGCGGGACGCGAAATGTAATGCTTGGTTTTGATCAGATGACATAGTTCATACACTGTCGAAGAGTTTTCGGTAGTTAGTCTACCTACCCCTATAGTCAACTATCCCCGGTCTCCCCTACACCTTTAACAATCTTTTTCAAATTTCTAAAATAAATTTATTGCTTCTGTCCTGACTTATCTGACTTCCTAGATACCTAAAATCAGTCACTTCTTCCAATTGTTTTTGTAGATATACTTAAAAATAAAGAAACAGTATTTTTTACGACAATTTCCTTGAAATAATTAACATAAGCTTNGAAATATGAAAAACATGTCACTGTTCGAAAACAACGCACGACCGCGATGTGACGCTTCAGACAACTGAGCGGGACGCGAAATGTAATGCTTGGTTATGATCAGATGACATAGTTCATACACTGTCGAAGAGTTTTCGGTGGTTAGTCTACCTATCCCTATAGTCAACTATCCCCGGTCTCCCCTATGCGGGGGTAGCGGAGCGAGGTGAGGGTATTGCGCAATTTATTATATTTACAGATAACTCTGATTCTCAGTTTACTAACGTGTTTTATTCATTTTATTCACAGAAAACATTAGTTTTATACATTTCCTAGTACAATATCGGAATTTCATACAATTCCTAGGAAATGTATACACATCCCAGGATATGCGTGTATTAAAAAATTCTTGAAATAATATTTTATAGGTTTCCTAAATAGCCTCGGAATTGTATACTATTCCTAGATTTCATACATTTCCGGTAACACATACAGCAAGTTGGTGTGACGAGAATTATTTTCAAGCACTATTTTTAGAAAGCCACGAACATCAATTGAATGTAATTTTTCATAAAATTCAGTAAAGATCTACAGCTTCAACCAATTAATAAATCAGTGCGAACTGAATGCTCAAACCAAAGTGTTTCAAAGGATACAGGTACCTAATTGCAGTTGAATAAAAACGGATAATTTTCTTATGGTGTTTGCTCAGTTTTCCCAGGTGGTTGTGTTTTCACTCCAAATATGTGTGAGTAAAAATCAGTAACAACTCTAAAGTGAAGTATATTCTCAAATTATTTGAAGTCTACTGCATTGCATGCTCGTTTTCTGCCAGTTTTAATTAATCATAGCGATGTGCACAAACGTTTGTAAGGAAAACGTGTACAAAACAAAAAATGACAAACGAGTAATGGTGGAAACCTTTTGAGGTTTGAGATTCTCAGTGTTGAATTTCTTATATGTGAATACAAGAATCGTTCATCATCATCATCATAAAGTCATCAGTCCTAAGACTGGTTGGACACGTACCTCCACTCTTTCCTATTCTGAGCTAAACTTCGCATTTCTCTAAAACTAGAACAACCCACATCCTTAACTATTTGCGAACAATAATCTAACCTAGGTCTACCTCTACCCCTCCCAACTCCTGTTTCTGCCTCTATGACTAGACTTTCATGCCTGAGAAGGTGTCCTAACAACCTATCCTCTGTTCTCCTATTCTTTCTGATACCTCTTCATTTCTAACCTTCTCTATCCACGGTATCCTCATCATTCGCCTATAACTAGGGTTGCCATCTGTAATATTTGGAAACCAGGTCAAGACGCGTAAAAACCCCGGACATGTCAACAGGTTTTTTTAAACATAGTCAGTGTAATAAAAAGCGTTGAAAATGTCGTAAATCACCTTTTTATTTATTTTCAGACCTTAAAATTAAATTTAGTCATTTTTTATCATCATTTTAAATGTACCTAACAAAACCGAATCTTATTATACAGTTTGTTAGAAATTGTTTTAATAATCAGTTAGATTTTTTATCGTTAAAATAAAACTCAAATTATTAATATACTTTGTTATGAAAACAAATCCTTATAAAAATATGAAACCTAAAAAAAATAAATTATACGGGGGGGGGGGTGGTGAATATAGCGACTCGGTTCGTCGGTTGATCGTGGTGTGTGCGAGCACAGTGGGTATGTCGCGGGAGGCCCAAGACTTTACATTTTTAAACCCGGAACACAAATGAAGGCCCACCCGGACGCTCCCCGGATGCCCTCTAAACTAGGACAAATCCGGGGAAACCCGGACGGATGGCAACCCTACCTATAACACCACAGTTCCAAGGCTTCTGACCTTTTCTTTTCCGCCGCGCACACTGTCCATTAATAATCTTTTTCGAATTTCAAGAATTGTTACTAGAAAGTTATGAGACTCGTAGTAGCATTATCACCTATAAGAAGACGAGGATTTTTTTGAGTTTCGATGGTGACTGCTCAAGACCTCGGGGTTCACTGTACAACGGTATTATATAACTATTAATGCGGTTTTGGCTAACATAATAGAAAAAGCACAAAGCTTGATCAAGTTTCCATGTAGAGTAGAAGACGTGAACAAGATAAAACTCTTGTGGCAAATCCGCTTTAATCTCATCGCAGTCATAGGGGTGCTAGGCTGCAGTGATATTGAAATAATGAAACCGACATTGTTCGGAGATGAATATATATGCATTTGGCAAGGAGTTTACATGATGTGGTGGATGATATGGAGGCGATATGCTGTCTGAGAAGTTATTTATCAATTAAATGGAACTGCTTGTCTGCTATCGACGGGTCCATTATAGCCGCAATCTCAATTTTTCCTAATGAATAAAATAAACAAGGGCCTTGCAGGGTAAGGTGGTAATACGTGCCCTTGCCTTTTTCAAGTCCAAGCACTGAGCAAATACTAAGAGGAAATTCTCGGTTTTATTCACTTCACTCACTGGTGTTTTTTAAATGAGATTAAACGTTTTCTTTACTACTTTCAGGTACTTGAAGTAAGGGCATGGCTTCTAAGAAAGTGTTACACCCTTCTGCGGAGGTAGGTACACGTAAATGTAAGAAATTTAATGGTTTATGAACCTAAAATCTAATAAAGTTACATTTTAAATGAATAACAGAAACAGATGTGACATATTTTACATAAATTCATTGACAAAATAATACTTGGCCAGGCGCCTCCACCAAATTTTTCAGAGTTTATTGGCTGCATTGTCAATTATTTGGTTTACACGATCAAATGAGTGTTCATACCAGTCTGAAAACTTTATAATCACACTGTATCTATATTGAAACAAAATTCAATTAAAAAATAATTAAAACAGCCATATTCATTTCAAATCGGTTGTAAAACGTTTCACCATGCAGTTGATTCTAAATCTTATCATTTTAGTTCTCACTTTTTTTGTAGTGCTGCAGCTTCATAACACCTCTCTACATCAATCGCCTTTGATAAAGTTTAAGTAGTACATCATACATTGAGTTTTTTTGAAGAGATAAACTAAAAGCGTACAACAAAATATAGCGCAAGCAGTAGCGTTATTTAGACGCAACACATCGGCATTATTCAATCATAAAATATTTATCCTTTATATACAAATTTGTGCGAAATTTTGAGATACTTTGGAAAATAGTAGTGATAGATATTCAGCAGTTCAACAGTTGAACCATTGTAAGACTTACTGACAACTTTCAAACAGATACCACGGAAAGAATTTGATAATAATTTGGAAACGGACTCTTGGTTTTCATTGAATTGGCGCGTTTTCTCCAATAAAATGTTTAAGTTGCAAGAAGTAACAGTTTTTCGCGATAAATTGTTTTTTTTTACCATATCTTTTTAGGATTTTATAGAGCATTGACGACCTAAAAACAGAAATGACATGATTTTTCTAAAGATTTTTCTTTGAATATCGTCTAACTAAATAATTAGATGACAAGACACCAAATAATGTCCCTGGCATTAACAGTTAATATTTTTTTTAATTAACGTTCGTGTTATTTTACCATTTACCGCTTGCCCGTCAATTAGACCACATCGTTTTCAAAAACGGACGGTTTATTTTTATAAAACACATCACAGTGCAACTTTGCGATTCAGAAGCCGCTTTTTTTTTATTACAGCTGGTCTAGTGTGCGCGCGGAGGTCAAGCTCATTCGAAAATTGGCAAGCCACACAATACGTACATTATAACAAAAATGCACAACACGAAACCGCGCAAGAACAACTTCCGAAAACACCACAACATTTAACAACAAAAACGACCGACCACCCTACTGTGATCACCATCATCTCGACATGTTTTTTGTGATTAGACCACCAGTATGTGATTATTCCAATTATTCAACGTTCGATTTATATAGACCCTTGTTCTGTTGTGTGATTTTAGACCGCTGGGGAAATACTCATTGCATGGAAAAAATTTACCGCTACCAACCCTGAAGAACTCACAGTAGACGAGGGTGACGTCTTGGAACTTATTGATACAGCTGATCCATCTTTAGCAGCTTCGAAGTAAGTTTTTCTATTAATTTCCCTAAATGTGTAACAATTTTTCTTGATAATAAATAATACATTTATTGCACTAATTTTAATTTCCTGATATTACTCATTGTCGCTTTATTTATACAAAATGTGAATCATTTTGAAGCGTGTGATATAACCGCATCTTTTTGGCATGACTTTCGGCTTTCTATCACATACGAAAACATGTAAAAAAACATGTATTCCCACCCTTTATTGACAATTACTTTGACTAATTTAGTTATTGCTAATAACGACGCATAAATTTTTATCTCCTTACATTAGACATTTTACAGTTTGACATTGAAGACACGTTGATGGCGTCTAAATTTAGAATACGTAACGTTAATTATAATCACGCTCGCGAATATTATTGGCGAAACTTTGATGTTTTATATTAATATTAAACTATGACTGTAGGTACTTGTACTGTTTACAAGAACAATATTGTTAAATAATTCTTGCAATGACACACAGCTAAAGCGTGGATGTAAATCAACTATTTTAGTTAAAAAGGGAATACAAATTACTAAAGTTAAGATAATTTAAGAGAAGTTTTATTTCTGACTAATTTATTTATGAGTGTAGTTTGTTTAAATACTTTATATTCAAGCTTTGTTGTTCAAGCAGTAATTTCTAGAACAAAAGTTCTTGATCGTTGTCTGTAGCGATTTTGATCTCTTTGGATCTCATTAGCACGCCGTAGATAGTTTCAGCAGAACAGCAATTTACTTACTGCCTACCGCGGCGTGGTAAACGCCATTCATTCTACAGATGCAATAATTCCTATTCAATTTTTTTCCTACAATTTGTAAAACTATAATAACAGATCTATTAAAAGACGAAAAAACATTGCGCTATTTTAAATTCTGTTTTTTTTTTTGGCCAATAAGAAGCTTCAGCCAAAGACAAAACGTTACTATCATGACTGATACCCTTTTTTGTCATTAATAATTGCTTGTATTGTTTTATTGATGCAATTCATAATATTTCTTTGTTAGCATTCATAATACTTAATTTATTTAAGTGAAATTTTTGTTACATTTTTAGAAGAAGAAAGCTTGACCCAGATCTTGATGTTGTGGCTGATACAGGACGTTTGGATGCATCGGCAGCAAAACACAAATTATCTGTTAAACCCCGAAGAACCCACACAAGTTCTAGATATTCTCCAACAAGGAGTAATTTAAGCGTCAGGTAAATGTTTTAAAAAGAAAATATTATCGACAAGTCACTTTTGTAACGCAAGTGAATTCTAAAAGTCTACAAAAGATTAGCTCGAAATAAGTTAGAAGAAAAGTTGTGAATTAAGAACAATTGAAAATCACATTAACATCGTCATCATGGGGTCGTCAATCCTAAGACTAGTTTGACATATGTACGTACCTCTTTGCTCTTTTTTATCTTGAGCTAATCTTGAAATATAGAGACAAACTAATTCTTTCTCAATATTTTTTGTTTCTTTCAAGTACCTTGTGCTATTTTCTTCGTTAAAAGGTCATTTTATGCGTTGAAGAAAGGGTTAATTTATGTACTAGAGGAAGGGTAAATTCTAGAGTTTTGATAACTGACAACTATCGACACTATTTTGCTTATTTCCTATTGACAATATTCTGTGAATGTAGCAACCTACTACAAAAAAAAAGAAAGAAAAACAAATAGGAAAAATGAGCTTTTAAAAGTACCTGTAGCTTTGTTTCTCTAAAGAAATTAAACTTTAATTTTTAAAAATGAAATTTGTTAAAAACCCTAACTCAAAATGACTGACATGCATAATTATTTATTGCAGATGGCTTGTTCGAAAAGTAAAAGGAGATCGAAAAGAAGGCTGGGTCCCGTGCCAATTTTTGCAGAGCGCGGATGAACCTAATCCTACTTCAGGACTTCCAGGAGATGCAGCATTCAGGCGCCAGTAAGTATTCCGATAATTATTTATTATTAATATATTCATTATTTAATTTTACAATTATTGAACACTAAAGTCCCGCCTACACCACCTGTGTAGCTTGCCTCTTTATAACAATATAATTGAATAATAAATTGAATCTAGAATTCATTTGTTGATATGCGTTCCATGTTAAAAATTAGGTGATTCCCCCAATCCTAAAGGTACTACAATTCATTATAAACTTTGAGTACTTATTTCAAATATCAAAATTTTTATCAAACAAAAATATTAGGTCAATGTTAAAACCGTTGAATGCAAATTATTGCGCAACTTAAATTTGTTAAAGTTTAATCATACAGAATTTTTTAAAACTTCTTAAGATAAATTTTAAATAGTGTATTCGTTTTTCAGAGCTGTTGTGAAAGAACTGGTGGAAACAGAACAAGAATTCGTCAGGGATTTGGATGCAGTTGTTCAAGATTATTTAATACGCGCAGAATCGACCAAAGTTCCAAAAATAGTTAAGAAAAATTTAGAAGTTGTTTTCGGCAATTTCAAAGAAATTTCAGAATTTCATAGAACGTAAGTAGGAGTTATGTTTGTCTCTGTCTTGTCAACTAAAAACCTGAATCTGAATTCACACAATTCTTTATGAAACAATTCTTCCATCTAAAGAAGTGAGATTATTTTGGTAAAGACTTTCGCGGCTAGTTGGTGAACTGGTACTGTCCTGATTCGAGTCATCGGCTGAAGTTGCTTCCTAACGTCTCGATAGTATGAGCGGCAAGCGTCTTCAGAAATCATCCAGTCTACATCCAGCATCAGAGATATAAGGAACTCTGAAGAAGTTCGCCTCTCGTGCTAGCGAAACGTTAAGAACCAACTCCTTTCGATGACGGTTTTTAGACCAGAAACAGAACAGCATAAGCTGAACTAAAACTGTCGTCGTTATAGTTATTCAAACTGTGGTCACAAAAAAAAATAAAAACGAAAAAGAATCTGAATTTTGAAAATGTGCTTAATATTTATGGTAAACATTTGATACAATTACGGCATTTTTTTAAAAAAATATTATCGTCACCATCATTCCCAACATTTTGTGAACATTAATCTAAATCTACCTTCCTCTGCTCTATTTATTCCTGTTGTTCTCCTAGTATGTCTCTAACTAGCCTTTCGTGTCTTTTTCCCATGTCAACAGTATCCGTAACACCACTCTTCAAACACTTCTAAAATATTCTTTTACACCGCGCCCACCGTCTACGTTTTGCATATTTACAGAACCGTGATCCAATCTTTTCCGAATTGCTGAATTAACCATTCACGAGGAGAAGTGACTCCTTTTTGTTAAATGCAACTTGACTCTGCGGTATCCTTTGTTGTACATCTTTACCTCTCTTTCCATCCACACTTGTTTGACTCCGTAGATAAAAAAATACAACGTGTAATTAAACAACACGCTACTGAAGTGAAACTTCTTCAAACACACAAACATACCGGGATAGGGGTTAAGGAATTGGTTTAACGGTATTAATTGTACACTATGAATTTAAATTTTACACTACACATGCCAGAGTTGCCTGTAACGAATGTTGCATTGAAGCGTGCTCACGGCTCAAGCGATCCCCACTACGAACTCGACTACATGGCCGAGTAGAGGGGCGACATCCGTTGCATGATTTCGTTACATAGCAATTCACACGAAACGAATTTACCCTATCGTGCGTAGAGAAGTTTCACTTCAAAAATCAGCGACTTCTTTTAATTTTTCGTCTCCTATTTTTATATAAACACTTTACTTACATGCAAATAAATAAACAACAGTCATTCAGGGACTTCATTACCTTTTTCCAATACGTACACTTGATTTAATAACAAAGTAACGACAAGACAACTTAAACTTTGGCCAAGTATCACTTTTGGACTTCTCATAATACAAATTCCTTAACGTTTCATAAATAATTGAACCAGCGTCTGCACCTATTTGTTTCATTTTTGTACTGCCAAACGTCGCAAGCGAACAATGAATATTTGTTGACACTCAACGTTTTCCATTTTTCTTTTCTTTCCAGGGTGCTAATGGAAGGAGTTAAGTACTATGCCAATGAGCCAAACCTTCTTGGCAAAGCCTTCTTGAGGCTCGAACGCGATTTCGATCAGCATGTTAATTATTGCAGTAACGAACCATTCGCACAGGCTTTCCTCGAATCATGCCAAGAAGCTAGTGACTATTTTGACGTATGTAACGGTAGTGAAGTGATTTTTGTTTTTGCTGTGTTGTGTGTGTCTTTGCTATGTGGAAACTAACAAACTTACATTAACTCAAGAAATACAATGAAACTGTGACGATATTGCTAATTGGTATTTTTTAAGTTAATCAAATATAATTTTCGTTTATTTTGGTTGAATAACAAAAACAAAATTTTGGGTAAAATCAAAAATGTGTTTCCAATCCATAATAGGTGTAGGGGTGTAGCTACAGGGTTTGTCCAGGTAAGTCAAGGCTCATGCATTGAATATTCTGGTTAGTCTGCAGGCCCACCTTGAATATAATCCAACTTTCTTTCAATTTCTTTCAAAAAACTGTTGGAATTTGACATAATAGCTTCTAAATAGGTAATCATCTTAATCATAAGATCGTCAGTCCTAAGACTGGTTGGATATGCACGTCCAATGTTTCCTATCCTGAGTTAATCTTTGCATTTCGTTAAAACTAGAACATTAACGATTAATGAACAGTATTTTAATCTAGTTCTGCCTCTACTCTTCTTAACTCCTGTTTCTGCTTCTAATGTCTCTAGTTAGCCTTTCATGCCTAAAAAGCTGTCCTACCAACCTATGCATCACGTCTATTTCTTATTGATTCCATAGCATCTACCGTTCTCCTATTCTTTTTAATACCTTCTAATTTCTAACCTTCTCTATCCACGGTATCCCCATCATTCGCCTGTAACACCATGCTTCTAACCTTTTCTTTTCGCGTCTACTGTCCATGTTTCGCACCGATATACAACTGTGGTGAAATAGGTTATGAACTGATTAAATCTTTTTTGAAATTGTACCTACTTTTTTTTGGCATGTGGACACTAAAATTTTAGCATGGGACGGAAATGCGCAACATGGATGCAAATGGAAACGGAAACGATATCGGAAAAACTATGAGTGAAAAGTTTAAAAGTTTCTATGTTACTTCGCCTCTGAGAAAATAGGCTGTGACATACAGACAGACATCAGAGACATGTTGATTTTATGATGGGTTCCGCTTTCCTTCTTTGAGGTCGTAATTCAAAAAGGTTCTCCTTGATACCCCCATGTACTGCTTTATTTGCATAAACATTACAATTTTCTTTAGTAATACAAACTTTAAAATTAATATCTACTTTACTAAAATTTTTATACCTCAGTGTTTTGACCCACTTTTGTATTTTATGATTACACAAAAGTGATTTTTATGATCACTAAAAAATGCACAAAACACAGTTGAACGTTAATTTAAAATTAGTAGATACAGCTGTTGGAATACCGTACGTAAAATTAAAAAACATCTTGATAAGTTTGGCATTCTGAGTTTTTCTTTTGACAGCAAGTGAAGTTACGATCTTACCATGTTTTATTTTTAACCAAAAATAGTTTATATTGCGTTGACTAATCGTTATAAAATTAGAATGAAAAATATTTTTCGCACACATTCGTATTAACGACGTGACGGATGCTTAAAAAAAAATACAACTTTCGTCCTGCCTCGATATTCATACGACTTAAAAGGACAATAATATTATAAAATTGGTTGAAATAAGAGCAAAAATACAAACATTGTATTATTAGATCAAAATGAAGTCAAAATGTATAGATAATTTACACGAAGAAAACTAAATTTTTATGACAACGCAACGTAAAAATTACAATTTTCGATTAAAAATGACTGAATTTGCCGTAGAAATCGTAGAATTTATTAGGTAACGTAATAATCTCAATTTTGATATGCTTATTAAAATTATTTCAAGTTTCTTAATTATTACAATTAAATTTGTAATATCTAGTACGTGTGTTTCTGCTGGGATTTTATTTTAATAAATTCAGGTCCAAATTGTAATTTTTATTATTTTCGCTTACGAAGCATCGGGATAGTGGGATAAATTGTAAATATCGCTTCAATATTTAAGTAAATTTACCTTTTTCATTTTCTCCGTGTACATATGTGAAACTTACAGAAATATTTCTGTTTTCATCTTAACTTTGATTTATTGAGAAAATTTTTCAGAAAAATTGTACCGAATAGTATCAAAAATAAAAGCATTTAATTAATTCCTTGCTTGCTAATAAAATTGCCTCATGTATCTGCAATAGTATTTCGATGTCGTTATTTCTGTTTTAGTGATAGCACAAATTTATCTAAAAATAAAAAGTGACATTTTTATAAATGCGACAGTGTTTTCAAGACGGGGTTTATTTTAAACTATGCATGCGCGTAGACAAAAATATAAAAATAAAATCTAACACGATTTCCAACAGTGAAAGTTAATTGTACTAACAAATATCTACACGCTTTATACTAAAGCAATTGTCTTCTTGTCAATACGTACATACATTTAATCATTATTATCAGTTGTGTATTTCGTCAGTCCTAAGACTGACTTGACATTTCTTAATCTGTTTTGCAAAATAGCAACCTATTATCTGCACGTCGTTTTCCCGAAGGGATTTAGCATTCTTTTCTAAAGATGTTATATATCATGAGATTAAGATTAAAGGAGATTTTAATGAATGAATTTCAGAAAGAAAGTAAACGCGACTTTCACGCCTAATGAACTTGTTTTGACTATCTCGTCAACATTTGTATATTTAAAAACATTTCATCATCAGTTATCCCAAACTTTCTAAATATTTGGGAACAGTAATCTAAACCAAGTTTTCTTCATCCTGTTTTTACACTATTTCTGCTTTTAAAATGTCCCAAACTCTCGAATTGTAAGTATTTGCGAACAGTAATCTAAACCAAATTTTCCTCTGCTTTTCTTTACTCCTGTGTCTGCTTCTAAAATGTCCCAAACTATCTAAGTATTTGCGAACAGTAATCTAAACCAAATTTTCCTCTGCTTTTCTTTACCCTAACTAGTCATTCGTGTCTCAGAAGATGTCCTCCCATCCCATCTTTCATTTTCCTTAACGACTTTCATACTTTCTCCAATAGCGCCTAATTTCAAACTTTTTCTAAAATCCTCTGTATTTTCATCATATTCCTACAACATTACTTCTTAAATCTATCCAACCTTTTCTTTCCGAGTTTAAATAATAATTTTTTTTCCCAATAACCATTCCATCCTGCGCTGTTTTTTACGGCCTTTCGCATTCGTTCATCTAAAATCGGCGACTTCTTCAATAAGTCTTCGACTCGAGAAATCCACTTGAATTTTTCTGGCAGGAAAAATCCATTATTTGTACAATATATCCAACCATCAATTATGGGTACATTGGGGCATCAAAAATGTGATGACTGTTCAAATGAATGTACAGTTTACATTGGCGAATATATTCTAGTCTGCATTAAAATAACAAATGCTAAATTTAGCGAATTATTTCAAAGCGCAATCGACAGAGTCAAGAAGGAATTTACCCATTAATCGCAAGTTTCGATAATGCAAGTTCTTTGACTCGAAAATTGCAAAATGAACTTTTTAGCAGAGATGAGATTTGTTTGAGACAGTTCTACTTAAATTAAAAAAAAAAAACAAAATGCAAGTTACCTATTTATTTTTGTTAATTGAATAACACCATTTCAATCAACTCCAGTGGAAACATAACAATTAATTAATATTCGGCACCAAATTTTAGTAAGAGCAAAACAAGACCCAAGATCAAGACTCTCAGTCTTGATATTCGTCTTGTTCATTTATTTTTGGTTTTGGTATTGGTCTTAGCCATGACCTTGTATGTTCTTGGTTCTGTTCGTTCGCTCTTGGTCTTCCTTCTATTAATACAAAGATGGCTCTGGTATTGTATTTTCGCAAGACCAAGACTAATTTTGTTCATCACTACAAAATTCCAATTTCACGAAGGAAAACTAACAGTAGCACCCATTTGTCTTCAGATTCAATGAATGCGAAAAATCGTTTTCAAAAAGTCAGTCACCGACGCGAGGTTTCGCCTTTATTTACAGAGTTTTATCAAGAAGATGACCATTTAGGACTTCATTAATTTCCAAACTGCAAATCGTCTAATACACTATGTGATATCACTTATGAAATACAATTAAATAACAGTTGGCCAAAAAATCTTTCCTCATAGTATGAAGTTTTCGGTAACATTCTGCTTTTGCTGTGATATTTAACCCAGGTTAATCATAATTTGTCAGGATCAACACAGATTTTTAAAGTAAAGTTTCTAAACACATTTGGCTTTCATTTCATTTCATGGACACCACTGTTTTAATCCGGATAGCGTACATAATCTAATTTCCTAAAAGGTTAATTCGGATATTAGCCCTTCTCTGTCTATTCGGCGTAACAATTTGCCTGAATTCTCAACCCTTTTTGAATATTTTTAAAAAGTCCTGCCAACGTTTTTCACTTGCATTCGCTTGTGATTTTAAGTGAACATAATTTTTCAAACAGTTATCATTTTTTAATTAAGAAATACGATTTCTATAATTATTCTGATCATTTACAAATAGATATTTTGTTAGCTCAAATTTTGTACAAATCCTCTCTGCCACATTGCTTTGAATATCATCGTCATATCTCGGGATTATTTAGCAATTCTCATAACAATGCAGATTAAAATATTCTCATAATGACCTTTCAATTTTGCAAAGGCTTTATCTCCTACCTGCAGCGATCTCAACCTCCTCCTTCTCCTAGTTATTCTTGACCTTACTTACGTACCAAAGGTTTGTTCCTGTTGCTCAAGCGTCTTCCAAGACAAGATTAAGCGATGTTAATTGTAAAACCAAAATAAAAGAAATAATTAATCAAACTGCATCCCATTGACGTGTTCGTGATCGTTTGCTCGACAACCTGCTGATGTTTAAATAAGAAAAGGCCGTACGCACGACTCCTACATGGCCCACGGTGGCATCATCAGAAGAAAATATAACGTCCGTCGGTGGCGTCGTCATCGTCGAGGCGTCTCCGACGCTGTCATCCGAGCTGCCCGCCTCTCGCGAATTTCTATCTATAGACGTCGCGGCGTTCGTCGTCGGTAGCGTCTTCATAGGTGCCCGTGACCAGTTCGTCCCGCGC